GCTACCTGGATTTGGAACTCAGAAGTTTGGGTTAGAGATCTACATTCCAGATCATGGAGGAGGGAGAACAGTCACGGGACCAAGCTCTGCTGAAGTGCCAACACTTAAATGCCCTGCCCCCACTCCACCTGGCATCTTCCCCCCAAATCCAACTTTCCTCATTTACGTTGGCAGTTGACCAGTCACTCCTTCCGGTGCATTCCTTCAGCTCTTTGTACAGTCCTCTGTGATAACACTTTTCACACTACTAACTCTTGATTTATATATTTGTTCCCTTCACTCTACAGTGAGCTCCTTGAGGGCATGAACTCTCTTACTCAGTGTTGACCCTCATGCCATTTTCATCTACCACATTGGCAAAAACTAAAACTATGGGCAGGGAATAAAGAAGATGTGGTACACGTACACAATGGAATGATACAAATGAACGTATTTACAAAACAGAAACAGACTCACAGACTTAGAGAACAAACTTACGGTTACCAGTTACCGGGGTGGGGGAGGGATAGACTGGGAGCTTGGGATTGACATGCACACACTGCTGTATTTAAAATAAAATGCCTTTCCATGAAAAAATAAAATAAAATCAGGTTAAAAAAAAATAAAACTATGGGAAGAGAGTACCCAGAATTGATTGAGGAGGTACAAGAAGAGGATGCTGCTTATCCTGCTGTTTGGCACAGTCTTTCTGTGTCATTTCTAGGAATTTATCCCATAGATATATTGATATTAATGCACAAAGATGGTGAGGCTCATTGCAGCATCATTTGCAATACTGAAAAGCTGGAATCAACCTATATTTCTATCAGAAGGGAACGGATTGAGAAGTACTTGGTGGAATAATATGCTACCATGAAAAATGAAGTAGAGGGGACTTCTCTGGTGGGGCAGTGGTTAAGGATCCCCCTGCCAATGCAGGGGACACAGGTTCAAGCCCTGGTCAGGGAAGAGCCCACATGCCGTGGAGCAACTAAGCCCATGCACCTCAACTACTGAGCCTGCGCTCTAGAGCCTGCGAGCCATAACTACTGAGCCCACGTGCCACAACTACTGAAGCCCGCGCGCCAAGAACCCAACGCATAAATATATTAATTAAAAAATATATTTTCCATGTCTCTATTTGACTTATTGTTTTAATTTTTATTTATTTTTGGCTGCGTTGGGTCTTCGTTGTTGCGCGGGGGCTTTCTCTAGTTGCAGTGAGCAGGGGCTACTCTTCGTTTCCGTGCGCGGGCTTCTCATTGCAGTGGCTTCTCTTGTTGCGGAGCACGGTCTCTAGAACGCAGTGAGAGGCCCGCATACCACACACACACACAAAAAAGATAGACTTACATATACAATAGATGCAACAAAAATGTCTGGAAGGCTACACAAGCAAACACTGAATAGTGTCTTTAGAGAAGGACAGTCAAGTGAATGGGTCAGGATTTAAGGGGAATTTTACTTTTCACTTTATGCCTTTTTTATAGTTAGATTTTTCTTAAAACTAGAAGCATGTATCTTTTATAATAAAATGTAATATTTGATATTTATAGTCTGCTGGGCATTACTCTAATTACTTTATATAAATGCACTCTTTAAGCCCTCATAAGAGTCCTATGAAGTAGGTAGTAGTTTTTTGTTTGTTTATTTTCTGTTTCTGGCCGCAACATGCGGCATGCGAGATCTTAGTTCCCCGACCAGGGATCGAATCCGTGCACCCTGCAGTGGAAGTGCAGAGTCCTAACCACTGGACCACCAGGGGATTCCCAGGTAGTAGTTTAGCCCTATTTTATAGAAGAAGAAATGAAGCACAGAGATGCCAAATACTCAGAGCATACATTTTTATAATAAAAAAATCTGAGGAAAAAAATTAAATATTCTCAGTCTTGCTTTCTCCTTCCACACCCTCCACATATTTGGCACTTCCTTCCGAGAAGAGAAACTGCCCAGGGCTGGAGCCCTTCTTCTCTTGGAAACCGTCTGTGAAGCAGGGGAGGCGGACGGGGCTACAGATCCTCCATTGGTGGGTCAAGCACGGGTCAATCAGCTACAGGCAAAAAAAAAGAAAAATCCTCCAGCCCCTCAGTTAGGGACTCACATGAAAGTGAAAGTATGCAATAAGGTACTCAATAAAGTGTGTAGTAATAACAATGGCCGCTATCACTTATCAAGCACCTACTAACTGTCAGCTCCTGTGCTGAGTGCTTTACAAATATTATCACTTTTAATTCTATCAGCCCAAAGGTAGGATTGTTATGACCCCTTTTTTATCAAGCAGGAGAAAGCAGAGGCTGAGCAAGTTTGAGTAATGTGCTCAATTATCCAGCAGGTAAGAGGAAGAGCCCGATTTGGACCTAACTCCATCTGAATCACAATGCTCTCAATTGCTCCTGCATCCTACACCACAGTAACTCAATTAAGGGAGAAAATAGGGTAGAAGGAACTTCTCCCTCCCCCACCCCCAAACAAAGTCTAGCTATAGTCAGTGAAAACGAGACAGATTAGAGAACAGGCCTTTCAGATCCACAGCTAACATGAAACACCCAAAAATCTTCATTAGGCACTAAGTGGAATAATAATTATTATTATTCTGCTTATAAGTCCAGGAGGTTTACACTGATATTTGTTAATGTTCACAACAATTCTGCAAGGTAGATGTCATTATCTCCACTTTATATAGGAGGGAACGAAGGCTCAGACAGGCTGTAGTTCTCCTAATGACACACAGTGAGGACAAGGCGTCGCTGGCTTATGAATTTGTCTGCCTCACCCCAAAATCAGTTTTTTCACAAGGCCATGCTGTTAATACCTTCAGGTGAACCTGAGGCAGTATATCATGGTCAACACAAAATGAAATCCAGACCTCTAGGCTTTCAGGACAGGAATTACTCTCCCCTGACTCCAGGGAAGGCCCCCCTCCCCCAAACAGAAGGCTGTTGCTTCACCTACTTGGTAACTACACTGCAGCCTCACAACCCATCACCTCAGAGATTACCTTTTGTGTGTCTCACTAGGAAGAAGAGCTCAAACTTCGCCTCAACCCCACCTTTAGACAAAGTACGTAAAGGTTTGGCAGCCTCCTGGAAAGAATGTTGAGTCTAGTCTAGAAACCCACAGATACCACTACCCAATGCCTTTTCAGACACTTCTTTATCAAAGTTTTATTAGCCTCAGCTCAAGGTACCTACATCTAGGCATCTCATTACAGAGCAAGGACACTTCAGCCATTCGTAACACCACCACCCAAGCAGGAGTTTCAAGGACAGCAGCAGAAATGTGTTGCAAGGGAGCTATAAACCCTCCTCATCCCCTTTCCCCTCCTCCAGGCATTTGCTCTCTCAACTCACCTATTTCTTCACAGTCCACAATTGGATTACTCCCAGTTCTTAAACTATTTGTGACATTCTCATCTCTGCTCATTTATTCACACTTCCCTTTGCCTGGAACTCATTCTCTCCTGGCCGAAATCTATCTTCCACTTTGAACTCCAATCCCACCTAATTTATCTTTGGACACCTGTCACTTTACATTCTCATTACAATTATTCAAAACCATTCTTTTTTTCCCCCTCCTACTTGACTATAAACTACCTATGTGACCTCAAAGTAAAGTACTGCCCTAGACACTGGAGATAAATATGTATAACATATATGTGATAATTTACGGAGGGATTTGTGTTTTGTTCTCATTTCTGCTGGTGATTTGTCTCCCTACCCCCAAGAAGGTAGCCAGCCCCTAATGTTCCCTAGCTGAAGGCTTCTAAGTTTCAGATCTAAATATCAGCAGTTCCCAGGCACCAAGAAGACAATTTCCAGAAATGCTTTTGAAAAGTGTGGGCTTATTAGGGGAACTGATCCAGGAGAAGGGATGGGAGCGAGTGCTTTCAATGAGGGAAGCAAAAATCTGTGGAGGGAAGGAAAGGGTTAGAGAAGGTACCAGGTGTTTGAGAGTTTATGGGAAAGTAAAGACCTAGCTTTCATTTGCATATAGCACCCCAGGATGAGGAGAACGCTGTGGGAGACTGTCCACTATAATACCTTGGCCTTGAGAGCAGCGGTAAGGGTCTGTCTCTTTGAGCAAGTGTGGAATGATTTATTCATCGTGAAGGGCAGGAGGATTAGCACTCACATCCGTAGAAGGCGCCACCCTAATGATTACGCAGCTGGCCTCTACCCCATGTTTTTGTGGAAGAAACACGTCTGCAGAAAGCAGTACTATGTGTAGAGAGCTAAAATGCTTCGCCCTTTAAGACGACTCCTCTGATCAACAACGGCTAACGTTTAAGAATCTACTATATTGGAAACCATGGGATACGTACTCCTTGGATTCCCTGCTTTGGTCTGGGGCCCTTTTCCTGGCTAGATATCAGGTCTCCGATCTGAACCCTCCCTCTCAGTTTAACTCCTCCAATAGCCTTCAGCCTTTCCATTGACCCGTCCTTCCTCAATGTCCCCCTCTAAGCTTCCCTTCTCCACCCCTCAACTCTGAGTCAGACTCTCCTTTAGTCTTCCCTTCTCCACGCTAATCTCTCCCTCCTCTCTTTCTGCCCAAACAGCCCCAATTCTCTCTCCTTCCTCTCCCGCGTCCCCCAGGCGGGTCTTCTTTCATTTCCATACTTCAGGGACCCCTCTCCCCTCCCCCACCCCATTGAGTTCCACAGCTCAGCCGTTGGAGGAGGCGTGGCCCCGCGAGCATCAGGTCTCCCGCCCCACAAGCCGCGGGCCCGCGCGCAGACAAAGACATTCCACAGCCCCCGCCCCCTCCGCGCTCTCGGCCATAAGTGGGAGGAGACACGTGTCCCTCTAGCGCCGAGTCACGAGGGAAAGAAACTAACGGAGCCCGCGGACACCCGCGCACGCGCACAAGGCTCCGGCCTGGCGGGCTCGGAGGAAAAAGGGGAGCGGGGAGGCGACTTCTTCGGGCTCCGCGGCGGTGCGCAGGCGCCGTGGCCCGACCAGGGACTTTGTTCTCCGCGGAGAAACCCAAGGGCGGTGCCGGTACTGGCTGCGCACGCGCGCCGCCTCATTTCCGGTGCTCTCTTTCGCTGGGTCGCTCGGGTCGGCTTCGGTCGCCGTCGCTCCCGCTCTCCCACCTTCGCCAACCGTCGGTCGGGCCTCTACCGCTGCCGCGTCGCTTCCTCGATCCCTCGATCGCATATTCTCCACAATGCAGCGCCGGGACGACCCCGCCGCGCGCATGAGTCGGTCCTCAGGCCGCAGCGGCTCCATGGACCCCTCAGGTGCCCACCCCTCGGTGCGTCAGGCGCCGTCTCGGCAGCCGCCGCTGCCTCACCGGTCCCGGGGAGGCGGAGGGGGGTCCCGGGGGGGCGCCCGGGCCTCGCCCGCCACGCAGCCGCCGCCGCTGCTGCCGCCCTCGACCACGGGTCCCGACGCGACTGTGGGCGGTCCAGCGCCGACCCCGCTGCTGCCCCCCTCAGCCACTGCCTCGGTCAAGATGGAGCCGGAGAACAAGTACCTGCCCGAACTCATGGCCGAGAAGGACTCGCTCGACCCGTCCTTCACTCACGCCATGCAGTTGCTGACGGCAGGTAAGGGCGCCTCCGGGGTCCCTGTGGGTCGCCCGGCCACCCGGGGTCATGGGTGGTAGCGGCTTTGTTCCTCTCCCTTACCGCCCCCTGGGGACCCAGGCAGTCGTGGACTCCCCTTATCTCGTCCTCGTCTTCGGGACCCTAGATTCTACAACTCCCATTCCGGTCCAGGGTGCGAGGGAGAATTCCTAGGCTGCAGTGGAGGCCCGAAGGGGACTTGGCGATCTCTTAGCGCAAAGATTTTGATGGATAGTGCCGCGCTCCCCGCCCCCTTGCCGACCCTTCCCCCTCCCACCTCTTGCAGCTGCCCCGCGCTCCGAGTGCTCAGATTCTTCCAGAAATGAACCTTCATCTCCCGCTTCCCCGAAAGGGGAAGCTTTTTGATCGCGGGTGGCGGTCGGCGCCTCAACTGAGGGTGAAGGAGGTGAAGGCAGCCTGAGCCGGGAGGGAGGGAGGGAGGGCCGAGGTGAGATGGGGTGAGGCTGGGGTGCCCTGTCCAGCGCGCCGCGGCCGCCGGGGCCGGGTCGGACTTCGCGGTAACTGGAGCTTGAGTTGCTCGGAGGCAGGAGCAACCTGTGGGAATCGGAGCTTGAGGTTTTCCGAATCAGATTGCCGACTTCGGCCGATAAGATGGTCAATTGCTGTAGAGCCAGACGGTTGGATCCCTTTATTTTACAACGCGTGCTCGTCATTGGAGAAGGGAAAAACAAACCTAGAGACAGTGAAAGGGGGTGATACAGGGAGATTCAGGATGGTTTCCATGACATTCCCAGTAAGATGGGAAAAAATTGAAAGAAGTTGCATGGTCTCCCCCCCTTTTTTTGCTTCAGTCCTGAAATAGATTAGGAATAGTAGTCTTTGTTCTCTGTGTGTACACTAGCGCTCCTTTTTTGCTCAAAACTGGCCATCACCTAGTCGCCTTGATTTCTCCCTAAAGCCGTCTGTTTTGCTCTCCCTTCTAGTTAAAACGTTTTAATAAGTGTATCTTATGATACCTAAATTTTATTAAGCAAATAAAAATTCACAGCATTCCAACACTGAATGAGTAGTTGGACTCTTTGGCAGGGTTGATATAATGGACACGTCCGTTATGAAAATATCATTTCCCTCCCTTTGTTCTCTGTCTCCCACCGTTGGTTAGAGGTCTTTACTTTTAAACACAGTAAACAAAGCCTGAGGTGGTCAAGAATAAGAACATTTAGATAAACTGCTTACATTTTCAACTCTGTGCTTTGCTGTTCTATAACACAGTCAGATTGTTTGAAACATTACTGTTCATTGTGTTCTTCTGGCAAGCTCTTTGAGGGCAAGGAATGCTTTCTGTTTATTTGTTTGTTTGTTTTGCGGTACGCGGGCCTCTCACTGTTGTGGCCTCTCCCGTTGCGGAGCACAGGCTCCAGACGCGCAGGCTCAGCGGCCATGGCTCATGGGCCCAGCCGCTCCGCGGTATGTGGGATCTTCCTGGACCGGGGCACGAACCCGTGTCCCCTGCATCGGCAGCCAGACTCTTAACCACCGCGCAACCAGGGAAGCCCCAAGGAATGCTTTTAAATCTTTATATTTTTCATATTGTCTTGCATATAGCAAACACCAGGTGTTTGAAAGCAAGTACATGCAGATTCAGGAACGTCCGACTAAATGGTATAGGTTGACTGGGTCTTATTTTTATTTCCCCCTGTCTTTAATCAGTCCATATTAAATGAGAATAAAATAACGAACTTTAGAACTTTAAGGTGTTGGCTTGGGTTTGAAATTCTAACTCTTGACTAGTCACCTACTCCCGGGAAACTTTCTGAACCTCAGTAACCTCATCTGTAAAGTGGGATGGTGAGTTGTGAGGATTAAATGTTGTGTAAAAAGCACCAGCACAGTTCCCTTTGACCTGTAATCATTAGATAATAACATGTCACCAGTTTTCTCCTAGTTGTAAATTCGTGGTACTGAGTAAGGTATGAAAATGCAAGCTTTTTTTGCCTTTCTGAGCACATCAAGTGTCCAGTATGGTGCTCGTCTTTTTAGTAAAAGAAGGTTTCTTAGGATAGCCATCAAAAACTATTGATCCTTAAAAGTTACTTCCGATTTTCACCCTTCTTACATTTTTTAAACTTGGGTGCTTTTTTTCCCCCCACTCTTAACACCTTTTATTTTATTATTTAACATCTTTATTGGAGTGTAATTGCTTTACATTGTTGTGTTAGTTGCTGCTGTATAACAAAGTGAATCAGCTGTACATATACCTATATCCCCATGTCCCCTCCCTCTTGCGTCTCCCTCCCACCCTCCCTATCCCACCCCTCTAGGTGGTCACAAAGCACCGAGCTGATCTCCCTGTGCTATTCGGCTGCTTCCCACTAGCTATCTGTTTTACATTTGGTAGTGTATATATGTCAATGCCGCCCTCTCATGTTGTCCTAGCTTACCCTTCCCCCTCCCCGTGTCCTTAAGTCCACTGTCTATGTGTACGTCTGCGTCTTTATTCCTGTCCTGCCCCTAGGTTCTTCAGGACCAATTTTTTTTTTAGATTCCATGTATATGTGTTAGCATACGATATTTGTTTTTCTGACCTATTTCATTCTGTATGACAGATTCTAGGTCCATCCACCTCACTACATATAACTCAATTTCATTTCTTTTTATGACTGAGTAATATTCCATTGTATATATGTGCCACATCTTCTAAACTTGGGCTTTTTTGATGTCTTTTTCCTTTAACCAAATTGAATTTTAATTGGAGAAATGGGATTGAGGTAATGCTGGCTCATTGAGAAAACTAACTTGGGATATGTGAATATTTCTTAGCATGGATAAGTCTTGATATATGTTGGACCTGGCTTTGAAGATTTTTTTTTTTTAATTGAAATACAGTTGATTTATTTTAAGATATTTTTGAATGATCTGGAAAAGTGGTCGTAGTAAAGTCAACCAATTGTGAGAAAGTGAGATTGAGAAGACGGAATAGTAGTATTTAAGCTCTGATAAGGATACAGGTAAGAAAAACACAGCTAACACTATGCTGGATGCTGGACACTGGCCTGAGCACTTTACATCAAATGTTTAGTCTTCATAACAATACTATGAGGAAGTTACTCTTATTATTCTTACTTCTACACATGAGGAAACCAAGGCAAACAGATTAAATCATTTGCCTAAGGTAACAAAATTAGTAAGCAGCATATGGAGAATTTGAAGTCAGTCTGAGTCTGGATCCTCACACCTAACCCTCTTTGCCCACCCCCCCCCACCCCTCACTATAGTACCTGCAACAAATTGTACTCAAAAAAATAAAAATAAATTTTGTGCTAAAATATTAAAAGAAAATCTGTTTCATCAGATTTTCTGAACACATCAAAGTCCTAGCCAACAGGGCAGTGAAGATCACAGGGCAAGACAAAGAAGGAGGGGGAAACCCTCTGCTAGGAGAGCAGAGCCTAGCACTGAGGACTGTGACTCCTCCAGGCAACTCTGCCTGTTTCCCAAGAGGTGCTACAAGACCCAGACCACTCTTCTTTACCAGCCACATAGCCCTTCCTGTACCTTTTCCCAGCTTTATATTATTTTTCACTTAGCATCTGATGCACCATACGTTGTAGTTAATGTGTTTGCTTGTTGGCTGCTGCTGCTTTATGACTAGAATGTCAGCTCTACCAGGGCAGGGATCTTTTGTCTGCTTTGTTCTGGCTGTATCTTCTGTTCCTTTAAGAGTGCTGCACAGAGTGGCCTCTTACTAAATATTTGATAAATGAATATTCATCCTCGTTGCATGATGGAAAAATAACGCAATTCTGAGGGATTTCGATTTTGAATATAGATTTCTGTATTAGCCAAATTGATATTCAACCACGATGACAATTAAATGCGTTTGCAGACATACAAAGACTCTCAGGGTACCCATGCTTGTTTTCTGAAACAAAAATAATTTATCATATTATTTGTGTTAAATATTTACATAATAAACATAAGATGTTTTTATGTATATCAGTGTTCTTTTTCTACTTTTTATAACTAGGAAAATACAAGTTAGTGTAAATGACTCAGGAATAAGTAAACATTTTCAGTAGATTAACAATCCCCAGATGATCTTGAAAAGATATGCAGAAATTCATCTTCCAAAAGCATTCAGTGCAGGGACTTCCCTGGCAGTCCAGTGGTTAAGACTCCATGTTTCCACTGCAAGGGGCATGGGTTCGATCCCTGGTCAAGGCTAAGATCCCGCACGCAGTGGAGCAGCCAAAAAAAAACCCCTCAGTGCAGAATATTTCCAGACAAAAATCTATTGAAATTTCAAAATAGTATATTTCTTTATTTTATTTACAGTATACTATGGAAATACACCTAGATGTCCCCATTTCATTCTACAGAGCTAGCAAGACCTATTAAAACCAGAAAGTGGAATTGCAAAGGAACTATAGACCAAGTATGGCTCTTCATATCCACGGGTTCTCCATATATGTGGATTCAACCAACAATGAATCAGAAATACTCGGGGGTGGGAGGGATTCCACAGTTTCCTAAAAGCAAAACTTGAATCGGCTTTGCGCTGGTTTACATTGTATTTACAACTATTTACATAGCATTTACATTGTATTAGACATTATAAGTAATCTAGAGATGATTTAAAGTATACAAGAGGATGTGCGTAGGTTATATGCAAGTACTATGTCATTTTATATAAGGGACTTGAACATCCTTGGATCTTGGTATGGGAGTTTGGTCCTGGGACACCAAGGGATGACTGTGTAGGTATAAGTATAAATATTAGGAAAGAAAGAGGCAGAATTTATCATTATTTGCAACAACTTCATGGTGGTTTACCTAGGAAAATGGTGAGTGATGTGGCTGATTACAAGGTAAAGATGTATAAATCAGTAGCTTTCTGATATAGAAGCAGTAGCCAATTAGAAAAGAATTGACAAAATGATCTCATTTTTTAGAATAGCAAAAACTTTGGGATAGGCAATAAAAATCAATTCAAAATGTATGTGAATATTCATAACAAACAA